CCACCTTTTTTTCCAAAGGTACCACGTTTTTGAACTGAAGGTACTAATTTTTGGCGTCAAGGTACCACGTTTTCTGTAAACACTTATTCATGGCGCTAATGGATTTATTTATGGATGTAATGTGCAACCTAATTAGCGGTGTGGAACCAATACTATTTTCAATTGCAAAAATAAATTCCTTTTGCGAAGGTACCACTTTTTTTTCCAAAGGTACCACGTTTTTGAACTGAAGGTACTACTTTTTGGCGTCAAGGTACCACATTTTCTCTAAACTATTCATAGAGCTGGGGTATACCATTTGTTTATGGATGTAATGTGCAACTTAATTAGCGATGTGGGGTATACCATTTTCAATTGCAAAAATAAGTCCTTTTTGTAAAGGTAACACTTTTTTCCCAAAGGGACCACGTTTTTTGAACTGAAGGTACTTCTTTTTGGCGTCAAGGTACCACGTTTTCTCTAAACACTTATTCATGGACATAATGGATTTATTTATGGATGTAATGTGCAACCTATTTAGCGGTGTGGGATATAATACCATTTTCAACTGCAAAAATAAATTCCTTTTGCGAAGGTACCACTTTTTTTTTCAAAGGTACCACGTTTTTGAACTGAAGGTACTAATTTTTGGCGTCAAGGTACCACATTTTCTCTAAACACTTATTCATGGCGCTAATGGATTTATTTATGGATGTAATGTGCAACCTATTTAGCGGTGTGGGGTATAATACCATTTTCAACTGCAAAAATAAATTCCTTTTGCGAAGGTACCACTTTTTTTCCAAAGGTACCACGTTTTTGAACTGAAGGTACTAGTTTTTGGCGTCAAGATACCACATTTTCTCTAAACTATTCATGGCGCTAATAGAGCTGTTTATGGATGTAATGTGCAACTTAATTAGCGATGTGGGGTATACCATTTTCAATTGCAAAAATAAGTCACTTTTGTAAAGGTACTACTTTTTTCCCAAAGGGACCACGTTTTTTGAACTGAAGGTACTTGTTTTTGGCGTCAAGGTACCACGTTTTCTCTAAACCCTTATTCATGGCGCTAATGGATTTATTTATGGATGTAATGTGCAACCTATTTAGCGGTGTGGGGTATAATACCATTTTTAACTGCAAAAATAAATTCCTTTTGCGAAGGTACCACTTTTTTTCCAAAGGTACCACGTTTTTGAACTGAAGGTACTAATTTTTGGCGTCAATGTACCACGTTTTCTCTAAACACTTATTCATGGCGCTAATGGAGCTGTTTGTGGATGTAATATGCAACTTAATTAGCGGTGTGAGGTGTAATACCATTTTCAATTGCAAAAATAGGTACCTTTTGTAAAGGTACCACTTTTTTCCCAATGGGACCACGTTTTTGAACTGAAGGTACTTCTTTTTGGCGTCAAGGTACCACGTTTTCTCTAAGGAAGATCCAAACCAATTTTTCATTCATTAAACTATCCATTTATCGACACCATGGAACCAAGGAAGATCCAAACCAATTTTTCATTCATTATAAACTGCTTCAGTTTTAAACTCCATCAAATTTGAAATTAGTACATTAATATAGTAGTGAAAGAAAGTTCATTGAGACCCTAATATAATAAGCCATGCAATACTAATTCCTGAAAACCCAAAAGAGCAACTTCATTTGATTTCATGTAAGGTAGATGCCGGTATAATAAGCCATACAATAGTTGCAAAAATATACCAACCTAATCCACAATCAAAAGTTGCAAAGCTACTATTCTTTAAAACTTTAAAAATAGCTAACACCAACAGAGTGCAAAATACATGCAAAAAAAAATGACACTATTCAACATTACAAATGTCCCGTATCCCACACCATTTCAGGTACCACTTTTTAGAAAATTCAGCGATCCTCCTATCCCACTTCCTCTAGCTTCCAACTGGGTAAATACTGGTATGTATTTCCTTGTTATGTGGTAAACCAATTTGTTGCCCTTATCCTTTGAAGACTAATCAGAGTCCTCTTGTTTGTGTATTTGATGGACATGCATTCTTTCTGTCTCTGTGTAGTTGGAACAAAATAACCACTTTGTCTCTGTGATTGTCACATGCAAAAAAAATTAAAGTATTAAGGCATTGTATAATATTAATAAGGAACAAAAGCAATATAAAAACAGACAATTCGAAACTTTGAATAATAATAATAATTTTAAAAAGAATCATCAAAATTAAAAAAGAATTTATAATTTGCCCAACACCCTGCAAGTGACCTCATTATCCAACCAACTTAGCAGTACTGTTATTTAAAACATGTTTGAACAATTACATAATAATTTTGAGTTTACTTAAGAGGTTGAATATTTCCATTGGAGCTCTTGACAAATATATCACATGGAAAAGTGCAAATGAACATTGAGCTATAGTACTAACAACTAATTTATACTAATAAATTGTTGTATAGCAAAAAATTATATTAGAAGTCGAGGAAATTACATCTTATATGCCTTGATGGATTAAGATGGAGATAGTGAGGTTCCTTGAGGTAAATGGTACCTTGTTGGCTGATGGAGGTGATGTTAGAATCATAAAAATAAAAAAAATAAAAAAAATTACTAACCACAAGTAAGCTGATGGAAGCTTACTTGAAATCAACATGCTTGACCAAATGGATAAAGTGCTTTGTTCTTTACAAAATCCTTCATTTTGTTATTGTCATCTGAAAGCAAATTTGAACCAATAATTGCACATCATCTATCAACGTCCACTTGCAAATTAAACCAGGTAAAGATAAATCATGAATATAGGATAGGGAAATGGACTTCATGCGTGAATACATATAAGTGTAAATAGATAGGAATCTAGTGTTGTAGAAACTATATATTTGATAAAGAAAACTTTTTCAACAATGTTGAATTTGGCATATGCACAAAATCTCGGTGATACTAAACTTTTATATGTGAAATATTGCATAAACAGGTAGCTTCATCCTTGGGAAATATGTTAGCAATTTGGTTAGATCAACACAGAGACAGAACATAAACAAAACCACAACAAATCTAATAATACGAAAGATCTCCCTGTCCCAAAATAGTTGTCCCTTTTTACTGATTCCAAACACTCAATGGCACGCACCTTTTTTCTGACATTCCAAAAGTAATCTTAAAGTGACTATTTATTTTGAAATTTTTTAATCATTCATTTCAATATGTCGTAGTTTCAGTATCTTTTGTGTTCGGTTCATTTTTAATGAGCACCACTAAGTACAGTGAAGTGACCATATAACCTGCAATATGTTCATTTAAAATGACAGGAGTCCAGTATTTGCGTATCTAATTGGTTAGGTGATGTAGGAAAAACAAGGTTGACTGATGATTTAAGCTACTGATCTCATACTGAATTCTTTGACAATGAAAAACTGTCTGAAAATATTTTAAGAGTATGCTATTCATTTAAACCTCATCTAGCAAAGCTGGTTTCTACTCGATAGGACCCATTATATAGTGGATGTCAAACATTTTCTATATCATTCATTACATGGTTCATTTTATTGCTTACTTCATGTTAGATCCGTACTCACTAGAGCTGGATGCTTTCTCTTTCCAAAAAATGGCACACATTAAGGGGGTTCTAAGGTTGAAAATTTTGTTGCGTAAAGGGGGTGCTTACCGCTCTCTTTGTTTCAACACGTGCCGTAGTCCCCTGGTCTTCCCGCTATTGAGACTACGACATTGCAGCCTAGCAGGGAGAGATCGGAAAGCGAAGTACTTGCACACAAACATGGGTTCAAAAGATGCAAAAAGAAAAAAGAAAGGTATAAGCTAGAAAACGTGTAAAAACAGAATGGGGAGTACAGTGAAGAGGAAGGAAAACGTTATAGTGGATGCATTTTGTGGTTGCATTAATTTTTTAAATTATGTTTGCGTGTATTGGAATTGAAGACCCTCCAGTTTCAACGCTTAAACAAAAGTGTGTAGGAATGTGGATCAGTTTTACAAATATATTTTTTGAAACCTTTAAAGGCAAGACCCATTTCTTCCTTTGAAGACTAATGACCAGTGGTTGCTCAGATTAACAATGCACCAATGGTTTAGAAGAAAACAGAGAATTAAATGATTAACGAAGAGTATCGAGGAGATTGTGTGATTTAGTAATTCGGTATTTTCTTTATTCGGGAAAAAAATAAATAAGACCCATGTAAAAAATAGAATTGGGCTTCACCTTCTCTTTTGGGTGACTGAGTGAACCATCCCATTTCTCCATGAAGTCCAACATGAAAGCACCACCACTATCACTGAATAAAAGACTGTTTAGGTATCTATCAATTATAATTGTGAACATAATCAGTACACTAAACTAGGAACATTAAGTGATAAAATTACCTATCGGGCTGTTGAGGTACGTTGGGCACATTGTATATGATGTTTTGTAGATCTCTTCCGGTGAATATCTCAACCAACATTACCTACAAATGCACAATATATAAATGATTAGAGTAAAAAATTCAGTACCACATTCTTCAACTTGTATACTTTACCGTCCTAATTTAACAGTAAATGAATACATAATAAAAAAAAATGAGCTCATATGTAATAAGCGTTTACCAAATCTTTTGACATCTTGTCTGGAGTACGCTTATCATGCGAACATTGCTTCATTGAATCCAACACATCCATACGACTATCGCAAATGTTAAAGACATACAAGCACCAATGTTTCTCATTTACAAGTGTTGGAAAGAAAAGCTGCATATTTAACAATGTAAAAATTTAATAACTTTTAGAATCATATTTTTTTGATAAAAGTATAATAATTATTTATGTTTCCAAGCGATAAATATTACCATATTGAATTGGCGAACTTTGTTATCATCGACATTCCTTATCCTTTTATACTTGTTCCAAACTGCTTGTATTTTACCCTTCCTATCAACCACTTTTGAAGGTATCTTGGAAAGTTCAATCTGAAAATGCACACAATTGATAACCTAATATGTGTCAAACAAACACTCATTATAGATAGAAGAATTTGTTATCCCAATCGAAGGCGGAAAGAAAAATTTGGTTCCTCTACGCTTTTGTTTCAGCTGGAGCATTTGGCAATAGACTTCAACCACCTACAATGATCACATTTAAACCATTAATGCATGCGTGTGATTGGTTTGAAAAATCAATGAACTTTAAGTGAACATACCATATTTGATATCCAATGATTGTAAGAGATTGTTCTCATCTCTTTTCTTGTGAGGAAAATATCATTTATGTTCACCAGCATTTCACTATAATTAAACAATAACATATTAAGTGTTTGAGCATAGAAAGTAAGTAAATATATAGCAAATAAGAAATTATTTAATTTCTCACTCATCATTTCTGCTCTCATCCATGGCTTATGAGATGACTGCCTTTGCTTCTGGATGAAGGACACATAATCGGTTGACCTTTATTTCAATCCAAGGTGATCCCTTATGGCGCCCAGGCTTTATAACACGTAATAAAGGGATCACTGCTTCCTGCACATCACGCTCCTCTTCCATTGCTGTGGAGGTTCCCACTTCCTCCTCCATTGGTGCGGGGATTTCTCCTTCCTCCTCCATGGGATCGTGTTTTGTAAAAGATTGCCAGGGTGAGTTTGCTTGTCTTGTGGAGGTTTCGAATTCCTCCTCCACTGGTATGTGGGATTCATCTTCCTACTCCATCGGATGGTGTTGTGCAAACAATTGCGAAGATGGGTTAGGTTGTCATGTGGATGAACTGGGTTCTGAGGATCTCGACCCCCTGCCTTGGCCTACATTGTGCTGTTGCTTCCATTTCTTAACAACTGTAATAATTTCATATGCCAACTCCTAACAATTTTAAACAAGTTTAATAAATATATATATCAGTTAATATATAAATGTAACCCTTGAGTTCCAAGTAATTATGAATATACAAATATAACCGTATATTTAGTACCAATTATAAAAAGCCATAATTGACGTGATTACCTTATCAGCATCTTCAGATGTGTCAGTTGTAAACTTTACCTCACCGAAGCCGAAACCATTATATTTACGCTTCTCCAAATTCAACATCTCGCTTATTAATTTGTTGGTCCATCCACATAAGCATGACATCTCAGGCTTCGGTTTTGGTCTATTGACATCCACACGGTGTAGGTAGAAAAGCTACAACATATAAGCCATTATGATAATGACATTATAGCTATTTAAAATAAAATGATAGACACATTACAAATATTATATCTTAGAACATACCATGAGAAAGAACAAGCATCCATGTATGTATGTACAACCTTCTCTTCCTTCTTTTCCTTTATAGGACGCAATTCCTTTTTTTCAACCAATCTAAAACAAACTTCCCCCAATTGTACGATTTAATAACATCCACATTGTCAACCGCTGCCAATAACCTTTTGCTTGTCTCATTTTTCGATATGGGTGCTAGAAGTGATCCGCAAGCGAAAAGGACAAAAGCCCTCTTGAAGTCATCCCCAACAGGAAGAACGTCTAATTGATGCACTAAGTTTGGCACTTCTATTGCACCATCCTTTAAAAAAATACCATTTTCTAACCAATGCACACTTTGTACAATATAATTTGGCACATCTTTTTCTCTTCCCGAGGGTAGGCCAAGTACCTCTTCAACGTCACTTGGCGTAACATGGATCCGAGCGCCAGATTCAAGGGTGAGATGAGATGTTCTAGGGTCAAAGTGTTCTACCAACCATAAGCACAGGTTGCGCTTCAAAATGGTACACTCGATGTCTAAAAGGGACCCAAACCCAATCTCTTGTACGGCAACCTTTTTGTCTTCACTTAAATTGCAAACTGGTTCCTTGAATTTATTTGGAGAACACCGGGTATTCAACATCTACAAATAAATTACCAACACGGGCACATTAGATACAAAAAGGAAGGATAGAGCACATATGTGGACATAACAGTCCAACTTAAATTTACCAATTTGCACTTCTACACATTACATGTTGAAAAGATTCAATCTCAAATCTGCTAGCTTACAAAGGCACTTGGGAGTACTCATATATTCCTAATTCATTAATTCAATACACATTCTTTGGAATTAATCCAACTAAGCACGTTAATGATAGGTAAAACACACTAAAAGAAGCATATATAAAGCATCACTCAACCCAATCAAACAGATAAAAGGAAAAAAAAAAAAAAAAATGCTTACAGTTTTTATTTTTATTTCTTTTATTGAAATTGTTCTAAAGTTCTTTTCCTTGGATGTTAATGGTCGTATGGTTTACCTAATAAGGGAAGGAGGAAGGATCCAATGTCCTCATACCATTTGTTATGGGAATGAAGGTTCTACCTCGTATTTTTAATTAGAGAATAACTCTAGGGGGTTTCGATTACCATTGGAAATGCTCAGCTCAGAGGATAAGTAATGGACCTTTTTGTTGATGATCTTATGTTAATCGCAGCTGGGATGTTGAATCTGTTAAAATACTGACAGAATCAATAGCTCAATTTAGTTTTAACTTCTATTTCTAGCTTGATTCCAAATAATGCAAAGAGGTGTCATATTCTGATCTGGTATAGAGACTGCTACTCAAAACCTAATTCTCAGAAAGCTTAATTTCTCTATTAGGACCTTCCCAATTAGATATTTGGGAGTTTCATTATTGTCTAATAGACTGAATAAGCCGCACTGTGATCCTTTAATTGAGGAGTTTTGGACTACCAACTACTCATTTTGTGCTGGAAGGTTACAACTTATAAAGTCTATGCCATTCTCAGTGCAAGTTTATGTGGCTTCCACCTTTGAATCTAGGACATTCAAAATTCAAACACACAATCAATTACCAATTAAGCGCCCAAATTGGCCCACAAATATTAATAACATCAGTTTCTCGAGTCAAATAAATAAGTTAAGAATTATCCTTTTTCAAATAAAGTTTTATGACAACACCATGATAATGATATTTTTATTTTTAGGAAGCACTGGAAGTGTTTTTGCTGCTTCTACAACTAAATAACTACACAAATCTTTCAACCTTTAAACACAAAAACACACACACAAAAGAAAATAAAAAAATAAAAAAATGAAAATTTTGTTGTTTATATATTAATAAATTTTGTTACTTTATATTGTACTTTGTTTCATATACAATTGGGTGCTTGTCTTAATTGACAGATTTATGCTTCATGCGGTTAACATCCAATTTATTATTAGCATGAAAAAAACTGGAATAAAATATATATATATATTTAAATAATTGAAGATATGACTTACCAGTATGAAGTGATGAAAGCACTCTAAAATATGGTAAGACCGTAGGTTGCTGCAATTGTAAAAATTATAATCCACAATAAGGGCCTTCAGCTTGTTCAAGACTAATGTTCAACCCAAATTTACCAATTAGTCTTTCAAATCCTACAAAGGGAGATCCTGTTTCAGTCATTATCTTCACAAATATTTATAACTAAAATTCATTAAAAAAAAGTATATAAAAAAGATCATAAAAATTTTCACCAAATAGGATTTAGTTTGCAAAACAAGAATTACAGTTACAAATCTCAGAACAAGATAACCATAAACACGAGAAGCCAGAATGAACACGAACAGTCATCTTAAGACATATACACCAACTTATTAACTATTAATAGAAAATCAAACATGACACAGATATTCAAATTTATAAGTCCAGTCTTCATTTAAGCTGAGTCTTATGCAGTAGTTATGCTATAAAATAGGAACTACATGCTTTAGCTTTTATGTTACTATAATTATAAATTAAGGAAGGCTATTCTAAGTGTAAAGAAATAAGAAAGTGTGCATCAGAAACAAAGAAATAAAGAAAGAATTAATGAAAGAAAATAGAGTTAGCATGCTTAGGAATGCAAGGCTCTCTTCAAACTGGCAACTGTATGCTAAACTAAAAACTACTTCAACCCTTGTTTTCTTTGGATATACTCTTGTTGAAACTCATAATTTGTAATTTGGTGGTTTGACAAATCTCACACATACATGTTACTTTCACAAAAATAAGTGTACATGAGTCCAGTTAACTGATGGGAGATATTCTGATGACGTTTTCTTGAGTCTCCGTTCAAGTTTCAAGCTTAAATAATTTATCCTATCATGAATTTATAAATAAGGTCACATCAAATCCAACTTCTAAATATTAATTTTTTTGTCTTTCTTAAAGGGCAATAAGAAAATTGAAGACCCAATCAGGGTCATCTCTCCTTTCTGCATTTCGATCAGCAAAAGGAGAAAAGGTTTTGGAAGTGGAAGGGACAATCACCAGCCAGTCGTTTCTTCAAGACGTGGGAATTTCTACATGGCCTGGTATATTTTTGTGATAGTTCAACTCTTTAGTATTCAAAATGCTACTTTATATATATATATATATATATATATATATAATTTGATAAAAAAAAAGGGGTCAGGTGACATGGTGAAAGCTTAAACTGGCCACTATAAGGAGACATATTTAAGTATGAGATCAGCCATTTCGTAGGCTGTAAACAAGCTGAGTCAAGCCAACTTTATAGAGCTTATGCTCAGCTTGGCTGGTTAGAAGCAGTGTCTGAGCTTAGTTTGAGCTTGGTTAATTTTTGAACAGTTGTGATCAAACTTGACTCACTCAAATAAACCAATTACTCAGCTCGGTTCGCATAAATCAATTGAGTTCTTAAGAAGTTCTGGAGGATGGGAAATTTGGAGCCTTGTTATCATAATTGTTAGTCAAAATAAAATACGCGCGTCATGCTTTGCAACTTCTCACTGTTGGAGCAAAAGATTGAGAAAGTGTGTCTGTGTGACTGTAGATTCTTAGTTTTAATTGTTGATTAAATTTGGACCATTGACTTCTTTTTCTGTAAACAAATGAATATCAAATCTAAAAGATAGGTGAAATGCATGAAAAACTTAAATTAACAGGATAATCTGCCAAGGAATGCTCTACGATGTCTCTAAATGCTAGTTCAAAGTTTCAAATTATGTATTCACATAAGGTATAAAGGAAAAAACAATCATGAGACTTGCTACATCAACAATATTCAAACATATATACAATAATAACAACGAAATAGTAAAAAAAGGTTCAATAATTGTTGTACTACTTTCACAAGTGATTGAAATTTGCAATAAACTGTACATTATGCATAAAAAGGCTTCCTAATAGCTGTTGGAAAATCTAAAAATTTGGATACAAGTCCATTCAACCAATCTTTTCCTAAGTCCTTATACTTTATCCTATGTTTGGTTGCCAAGAAATTGGGAAAACAAGAAGAAATTAGGAAACATGGAATCTTGTAACAATTCTACTCCTTTATAGAAACTTGTTAATCTTAAAGTTTTTCTTCTTTCCTTATTTTCTCTGCTACCAAATAATGGACAGTTCAAAATTGTTGTGTTCTAGCCT